AACTATTTAAATTGTTGACCCTTTATATAATATTTCAAGATAAAAAATTAATTAATAAAGAACTAATTTTTTATGGGGATAATAAAGAACTAATTAAAACCAAACAAATGATCAAATCACCCCTCAGCAAAGTTTTTAGGTTCAGCCCCGAGCATAAAGCGATGCCAAGTGGAGCAGGGTATATTCTTAACTCAGCAATTAAAACCTCATAAATGAAGAAGGAAAAAAAAAAAAAAGAAAGGAAAAGAAAAGAAAAAAAGACTGCTTATATGTTACTATCAAGAAAGATAGAAATTTGGCAATTGGAATAACACCAACCAAGTTCAACCTTTAAATTTATTTTCTTGGTCAATTAGGCTCTTCTACTATACTTTGTGGCCAATTACGGCTAAAGTTAAGTCGTCATCAGAATAATTGTGGCCAATTACGGCTAAAGCATTCATGGTCCAGCGGGCGCTAGTTTACTTCCTAAATTTAGTTGGCAGGCAATCGCCTAAGCTATTAACTGAGTGGAAACTCGAAGAGGCTATTTAAAGTTGACTAAACATGTCCTTAATGGGGAGATAATAGTTACCAGGCTTATTATTATTTTTTTTTATCTTGATTTTGTAATGAGAGATAACTATCTCATATTTCTTATTTCACCTTACCCACGTATCATTCGACTCGAATTCAAAATTACTTATTTTTAACAAAAAAAAAAAGATGACTAAATTACTTAACTCGTTAGTAATAGTTAATTACCAAGCTTTCTCTATTAATTTTGGCCTTAATTGGTTAGATGGCATCACACAGAAGCTTAATTCACTCAAAAATAAGTTTAATTGACGAAAAATAAGCCTTAGGACTCGAACCGCATACACAAATTATGTTGATATGATTTTTAATGGAATTGAAAAAAATTAAGATGTCTTAATGATTAAAATATTATAAATGATATTTTAAAAAAAATGTGTAAATAAATGTATTAATTTTATATATTTTATTTAAAAATATTAATTTTATCAATTTTTACAAAACAATGCCAATTTTAAAAATTTTTTATTTAAAAATATCAACTTTTAACTATTTCTATTTAAAAACATTAATTTTTTTTATTTTTTTATTTAAAAATTAATTAGATAATGATATTATCATGACAAGTATACTTTTTTAAAAAGATTAACATTTTAAATAAAAAAATTAAAAATTGACATATTTAAATAGAAAAATTAAAAATTGACATAATTATTTAAAAATTAATAAGGTTAATATTTTTAAATGAAAAACATAAAGTTAGCACTTTTATTTACACATTTTTTCATGATATTTATCAAAAAAATAATTATAAATGATAATACAAAATTTAAATAAATTTAATAAATTAGCATATAACAAAATTTTATTAAAAACATTTGAATAATTTTACAAATAATCATATCATTTTAAATGTCCAAACATAATGAATCTTAATTTTCTCATTGATAAAATAAGAGCCATTTGAATTAATTAATTAGATATAATTAATAATTAATATTATTTACAATTTTTAATTATTTTATATGCATTTTGACATAAATCACATAAATGAAAGTTAGTAAACATTAATGCATGAAATATATATATATATATATATGTATGTATATCATTACATCGATCAAGTTTTGCCGGGCTGCGAACAACAATGAAGTTTTGGCACCGTGATTTGCTAGGTCCACTGCAATGTCCATGCCAGAATTGCCAGAACCAACAACCACAACGTTCTTA